GGAAAATGTGGGTCAAACCCGCCAGGATGAAATGGGTGTAGAACCTGTCTCCTACTTCTGGGGCAAGAGCCTAAATCAGTAGGTCACTGAGTGGAAGATAAACCTTCTTATAGCTGGAATGGGATTGCAACAGAGTAGAAGTGGTGTTAGACACTTAAGGGACTGTATTGGATCACTTCTGTATATACACAGTAAGGCAAGCCTAGTTATATCAGGCCAAAATGGAGATGTGTAAGGCATCGTTGGCTCTTAGTAGTATTCTGGGTGTTGCACAGGGTAGAATATGGTCGTGTTTGATCACTTAGGTACCTAAAAACTGTGCAAGTGCTACTTGGACATTTTAGAGATGAAATAGGGTCTAGTCTTGGTGTCTCTCAGGTATTCAATAAGTCTTTACAGTTGATTGACAGCTGAAGATAACGGTACCATGGGCATGAAGTGATGTGGAGCCCATTTATAGGCTGGGAGCAAGCAAGGAGTCTTGTGTTTGCTCTTGTGTGTGAATGTTTGCTCCTAGTGTCCTCCAGGCTTAATGCTGGCCTGCAGATTGCAAAATGTAACTTGTCTGTCATGCTGACTGCTGACATTGCCTATTGCAGCCCAGAAACTTTTACTTTTTGTTTTTGGGAAGTGCCGCATTACTTTTCATTCATTCCTCAGTCAAAAAGAAAGTAATTCTGTTAACATTTATTGATAAATGATGCAACATTGAACTTGAAATATTTGCCATAAATTGGATACACATTGTGTTGATTTGAAAGATGAAGTTTAACGTGGGGGTTGGCAATGTATGGCTTGTGGGCCAGATCTGGGACTGGGCAGCTGGAAGCTGCATCCCATGTCCTTGCTGTGTCCCATAGCCCCCTGCTTTCTGGCTGTGGCATAGGTGCAACTTCTAGCAGGTGGGGAGCTTCACTACAGCTGAGAGCTGCAGTGTGGAGAAGCAGTAGCAACATAGATGCAGTTTCCACTTGTACAGCCCCAACGCAGCTCCCCACCATCCGGAACTGCACCTGCTTCATACCTGGGGAGCAGGGAGCTGGGGGGAAACAGCAGTGGCACGGGCTCAGCTTCCAGCTGAACTGGCCCCTGCATGGGCAGTGGCAAAGCCTGATATACTGCTGAAGCCTCTTAGCCTGCATTGAAGCATAGCTTGATTTTTCTGGCCTACAGCTTGTTCAGGGTTGCCACCCACTAGTTTAATGCTTTGAGACCATGTCACTTGCAGTGTTTGTTTTATTAACGCAGGTATTTTTCTCCCAAAGTATTTTGTCAGACTAGTTTGATATCTCAGAGTGGTTTTATTTCCCTGTTATTGAAGTACAGTTTATAAAAATAAAAAAACATGGTTCAACTTCAGTGCCTGGGAGCATTATCTGTTTAGGAATATTTTTAATATTGAGGTTGCTA